GTTCACCTGGGAGTTAGCCAGTTTGGAAAGACAATGGAGCTAAACTCAAAAATACTCAATGAACTATATTTCAATGTCTGCTTTTGTACAGCAGAACAGAGAGAAGGAAAAATGAATCATGGCAACAGGAGCTGGAACTCTTTCTCTACATGTATCTAATCATCTCAGAAAAGGCAATTCAGGAAAACAATCACTCAGCAAGAATTCAAAGATATCCATAGATTCCACAGCTGCTGAGGATACAAGTCAGCCATTAAACAACTGTGGTCTCGAGTTAAGAATCTGGACCTCAAAGGTTGTAAACATGTTTTGACAGCGTGTCTTTATTTTCCTTGTCTGTACCAAACACTCCCCTTTTTAAACCTGTTACCTGTGTGTGTGTGTTTGATGTCACATCTTTATTTTTTCTCTTGGACATTTGTAGGTAATAAAATTTATCTTTCATTCACTCAAGAAAACCTTCATATTTGGCTACTTCATTTCATAGTGAACTATATTTTAATTGAAGTGTGATAATTGCATGCTAAAAAATAAATAAGAATATTTGCTGTGTCTGACTAAGATGGGGTTAAAAAGAAAAAAGCTAGTTCTCCCTCTTCATCTGGTCATATCACTTGGATCTCTAGATTATTAATTCAGTGACATTATCACTAAGCTACCATTCCTCCAGCAATATGTATTGCTGGAACAAAAATACAAAGTCTAGAGAAACTCAGCACATCTGGCAGCATCTGTGGGGAGAAAACCAGAGTGAACATTTTGAGTCCGGTGAGCCTTCATCAGCATCTACAGTTCTTTGTTTTATTTTAGTAGGTTGGTGCAGTTTATGTGCAGCCATAGAAAACGTCTAAATTGCCCGGTTCAATATTTGCTAGTGTTAATGAGACAGTTTACTGTTGGACACTATTGCTTTGCCATTCAATCTAGTTAAACAAGTGTACAATCATCCTGAGAAAATGTTAAGAAGAGAAAAGGTGTTTTCACCCACATTCTGCCCTTCTCAATATCACTGAATTACAACTATCCACCATCCCACCATAAGAACATAGGAATGTGAGGAGACAATTATGTGTCTCAAGCCTGCTTTGCCATTTAAGATCAGGACTGATCATTTACCTCAATGCCATTTTCCTCATATATTTATATTTAATACCATATCCTTTACTCTATGTCACATATTCTCATTATATCCCTTAACTTTAAATACCTGCCTTATCTCTCAACTCTTCCTTCTCACAATAACCTTTAAACCTACCTACACAGCCTCTCCATATCCCTCAATCTCATCTTTCCACTGTATCCCTGAAATCCCTCCTCTCTTAAAAATTATCTTGTTTTTTCTTGACCTCTTGTGTTTATTATTTCAATGGACTTCCTTGATAACTTATAGATCGTTCTTTTATGTTTACCAAACTCTCATGCTCGCTGTCTATAAAATCATGACAGTAGAAATGATTTGTTCAAATGTTATTTTACAATAATTCAACACATTTTCAATATTCCTCTCCCTATGTTTGTAACAAAAATGCTGATCTGTTTTAATTATTTGCAAATTCCAGTGAGAATTCTGAGCCATTGAATATTTCTTTGTGATTGATTCATGTATCTAATTTAATGTTGTATTCCGAAATGAATTCAATTGCAGCACAACAAAAAAACGATGGATTGAACCGAATAAGTTTTAAGTTGAGGATGAACTCCTTCACCGAAAGGGTTGTGAATCTGCGGAATTCCCTGCCCATTGAAGCAGTTCAGTTTACCTTGTTGAATATTTTTAAGGTAAAAATGGATAGATTTTTGAGCAGTAAAGGAATTAAGGGTTATGGTGAGCAAGTGGGTAAGTGGAGCTGAGTCCACAAAAAGATCAGCCATGATCTTATTGAATGACCGAGTTGGATCGATAGGCCAGGTGGCCTCCTCCTGCTCCTATTTTTTATGTTCTTATATTAATTTCGACCTGTCCAGAAATTAATGTTTTCTAAAATCAAATGCAATCTTCAGCTGTGTAACACTGATCAGTCTGTCATTTCGGTGATGAACAGCTACCCTCCACTGAAGGCAGAGACTAACACACAAGAGCTATCTTGCTTTTGACATCCTTTCAATACCAACAGATACGCAGAGCACGCTGTAATTGACCGAAGACTAGACTGAATCTGTTCAAAGATGAGAAGCACCCAGATACTAAAGTCTCACAGCAGCAATAGGCTACTCGTCGTCTTGCAATAATATCCTAGGTGATCACAACATGAACCATTGTAGGACTTGGACATTCAAGGGATGAAAAATTCATTTGCACTCAATGTATGACGTAGATTGATGATGATTTTGTTGTGTAGATTCTAATGTAAATTATCATGCCAGCAAATCCTTGTCTTCCCTGTTCCCAATTGGAATAAAGGGCTGTGTGTCTCCACAAGGAACTGAAATTGTCTGACACAGGGCTGTTTTGGAACAAATATTCTAGTAAACCAGTGAATATGAGTGACCGGCACTGTCTGACCCTGCTAAATGGCATTTTGTGTCCATCAAAGTAATAACCTGTCAGACAAAAGCCTTTCAGACATTTCACAAGAGCGATCCACATTGAGTCAGAGTCATACCAGCAGAAGAGACCCTTTGAAATCTGCAGCAACTAATCCCATTTTCCACCACTTTGCCCATAACTTTGAATGTTATATCATTTCAAATGCTCATCCACATACTAAAGATTGTTAGGTTTCCTGCCTCAACAATCCTCCCAGGCAGTGTAATCCAGATTCCTGCTACTTCTGGGTGAAAAATCTTCCATCAAATTCACTGTAAACCAGTCCTTCACCTTAAAATTTTGCCTGCTCATTTTTGACTCTTCAACTAAAGGGAAGAACTGCTTCCTGTCCACTCGGTTCATGTCCCTTATAATCTTATACACCCTAATCAGGTTCTACTGTCAGCCTTCTCTGCTCTAAACAAAACAAGCAAGATAATCCGAGTTTATCCTGCCTACTTTCTTAGCTAAAATGCTCCATCCCAGACAACATTCTGGTGAATCTGCACTGCATCCCCTCCAGGTCACTTATCAATGCCATCTTCATAGCGGAAACTAAATATATATTCACTCATGAAAGCACAATCAAAATAATATTTTATCAGGTATTGCAAATTGGGAGAAACTTAATAGAGTGGATTTGGAGATAGCGATAGAGATTGGGAGAGAGTTAGGTGAGTGGGTTTGGGGATTGGGAAGGAGGTAGCAGAGTATGTTTGGGCATTACCAAGAGAAGTAGAGTTTGGAGACTGGAGAAAGGGAGAGCTAGAGGATTTGGGTTGGATATTAGCAAAGATATAGAGGAGTGGGTTTAGAGATTGGGAATGAGGTAGATAAGAGGGTTTAGAGATTAGAATGGAGGTAGAGGGGCGGGCTTAGAGATTGGAATGGAGGTAGAGGAGTGGGTTTAGAGATTGGAATGGAGGTAGAGGAGTGGGTTTGGAGATTGGAATGGAGCTAGAGGAGAGGGTTTGGAGATAGGGGAGAGGTAGAAGAGTGGGTTTGGAGATTGGGGAGAGTTGGATGAGTGGGTTTGGAGATTGGGGAGAGGTAGAGGAGTGGGCTTGGAGATTGGGGAGAGGTAGAGGAGTGGG